ACTGGTACCAGCTGTTATCATACAAGCTTTCATGCTGCATTATAGCGGTTTCTGCAAACTGTCTACATCTTGCCATTTTAGCGGCACACTCATGTATGACGCCATCTCCCTCATCTCACGTGTATACTTACCAAACCAGGATGAAGGTTCCGCGTGCATGAAAAAAATCTCAACAGTGGGCCGGCTACCTACGAAACAAAATTGGTTTGAGGTGCACAGATCACCAAATCTCTGGGAGCCAACCCCTGGTTATTTAATAATGACACGGCAAAGAGGAGAAAATTAGGGTTTTTGTTGGCTAGCAGAGTGACAAATCCAATAGACTTCACATCAAGAGCAATTATATATAAAATAGAAAATGTATTAGTTTATCAAAACATCTTTTAAAAGAACATTAGACAATGTAATTAGAATATAAAAGAATTCGCCCAATAGGGGAATCTCCTAATGACCCCCTTGGAGTCCCACAGATAGGGTTCAAATAAACAAAAGCAGGATGTATAGATAACAAATGCAGTACTTCAACTAATACATCTCTAATATAGAAAATTCAAGAGTGAACCCTCTGGTGGGACAACCAAAGTAGGTAAATGTATAGCAATGACCGTAGGAGTCACGCGATGCTGATGAGGCTTGCCGAGTTTAGTGCCAAAGGGCGCTTCGTCAGGAGCAGGAGGTAGTCCCCTCAGTGCGTACTCAGCGGATGCTTAGCACAAGCAGCAAACAATGAAAACAGCCCGAAGTCCCGAGATGGAGGATGGTGTGAGCACATCAAGGGCGCCTATAAATGCTAGAGGAGCAACCCAAAGGAGTTGTTTTTTTTTGTGTTAAGGACCTAAAAAATGGAGCTGATAGGATGAACTGATGGCAGAATCTCCACCGGCAGAGGACCGCCGATGCTTGTGTGGCCGTCTCCAGCCACCCATTTTGTGTCTGGGCCGGGCTACCTACACCAGACACAAAATATCACTTGGCGACTTGTAGTCAAAAGTAAATATGATGGTGGGAATTGCCAGTAGAGTTCACCCCTGGTGGTGAAGTGTGGGTGATACCAAAAGCCCATCACAGCATTGCCTGCCAAGTGAGCGGTTGTGTTGTCAGTTGGTTTCTTTATTTCTTCCTTTGATATCCTGACAGTAGGTTCAGTATAAACATTGTTCCTGCAGTGGGCGGATGGTTATAATCTTTGACGTGGAGGCAGATGTGATTATTAATCATTAACCATTGATTGTCACTAGAAGCTGTTATCTGTACCGTGCACCTTGAGATCAGAGCTCATCCATACAGCTACTATCTCTGATCGCCAACTGGATTTCACATGGGTGAGCGGATTTCATGACAGAGTGATGATGATGTAGGGTTCCATGTAGAAGCCAATTAGATTTGAGCTTTTTATCAATTTATAGCCTGCATGAGCAATGTAATAAAAGGGACACTGTCACCTTACCCATGCAGAGCACAATCTCTCTGTCATGGCCCCCTCTCCCCAATATGACCCCAATATACTCACCAAACCACTGATTCCTTGTCACCCTTTCCTCCACTGCAATGACTGGTGTTGGTGACCCAGGGAGCGATAGTACAAAACACATAGAAGCTTTTTTGTTTTTGTTTACCATGTTGACTTAAAGGAAGACATTCGCTCTTCCATTGAACGTGGTCATCCTGGTCATTTTCCTCTACAATTTGCAAGGAAGCTTGTACTAAGCATGGATAGGGGAAGCTGGTGATGGGGATTTGGTCAGAAATTGGTGGTCTCCATCCACAATCATGATGCTCCTGATACCAATCCTGTTGCTTGTTCTCTCAGAGCATCTATGAGAACCTTGCTGGACCACAATATTTTTTCTTTCATCTTATTGGTTTTCAGCTGATACCCATCTTTGGCAGTGAGGAGACCACATTCTATAAGTGTGTGCTTTTCTCTGGACTACGTTCATCTCAAATGTAGGTTGAGTGATGGTCGCAATATTAGCCATTAACTTGTTTTAAAACTATTCTGTGTTCTCCCTGCTGTCTGTGAAAGAGATCAGGGGTACCGATGATTGAACAATTTAAGATTCCCAACTCTTTAAATAAATGAGCCAAAGAATGTTGGCATGCAGGGAATGCATTGTTTTCCAAGATTTAGTCAACTCCCCTCAAAATATCACCCAAACCATCCTCTCCACTCTTTCACAGACCTCCTACTGCTGCCATGCTTACCTTCAGGACTTCTCCAGAGCCTCTCCCATCCTCTGGAACTCTCTACCACAACCTGTCCGGCTATCTACTACTCTGCCTGCCTTTAGGTGATCCCTGAAAACTCATCTCTTCAGGGAAGTCTATTCCACCTCCTCTTAAAAACTATACGATCAGCTCATCCTCACAATTTTTGCCTCCTGTATCAGTTGCAGATTGTAAGCTCTCATGAGCAGGGTCCGCAAATCCTTTTGTATGGTATTGTAATTGTACCCCATATGTCCCCATATCTTGTAAAGCGCTGTATAATAATACTAATAATAATAACTCATTGGCTTACATTGGTGAAGGAGCAGTAGAGTACATATATTGTGTAGCCCCCATCACCTTCAGTGATGTGGCTACTAAACATTTAGTGATTGCAAGGGCTCTAGTCAGCCTGGCTGGAATTATAGTGGCAGTTATCTGGTTAATTTCAGGTGCCTGGCATTGTCTGTACCCCCTTGGCTGAGTGTGACTCTGTCATATTGTGGGACAGCCAATGAGAAACACTGTAGTGTATGTACAGTACAGCAGCCAATCACTGGGTTTCTCTCAGTCAGTGGTGCATGCTGGGATAGAGTACATATACTGGTGGGATTTGCCATGTGCTCAGACTAGCCAGGACCAGCCATGGAATAGGGGTGGGTTCTGTTCAGCCTGCCCCCCAGGCTAAGTCTGAGGCCTGGGGGTGGGCACAGACTGGTGTGAGGGAAAGGTTTCCCTGAGGCCTCCAACATGGAGGAGGCCTGTGATGCTGATAGAGGAAGAGAACCGGGACCAGTGCAGGCCCTTGAAGTACCCTGGAACTAAGTGGACTTCAGGAACCATGGTCGGTGTCTTTCCTGCTTGGGGATCTGTATCCATCCTGCTTATCTGCTACATCAGTTGCCATCCACTGTCTCCCAAGTGGATCTACACTGATATACCTACAATGTCTGATGAGTCTGGAGCTCTTGTCAGTTACCTCTGGAAGCTTAGAACCCCTCATACCCTCTCTCCCCAGTGAAGATGTTCAATAAACCGTTACTTTCCATTTTATTACTGCAGTAGACATCAGCTATTGTGGGCACCAGAAGAAGGGCGGTTAGCGCTAATGGGTGGGCAGCGGAAGAACATAACCTAGAGATGAACCGGGCTCCTTCGGGGTGAGCGCTACAATTGCATAGTACTACAAAGCAGGAAATAGAGCCTGTATAAGCAAAGATGGCTGCCCCACATAAATACCTACATAGAAGCAGGTTTTTAAAACACAAATACATTTTATTAGATTATTTGTATCAAGTTGGTCATTATTGTGTCTATAGATATAATTGGTCAGAAGATACGTTTTCCTTTATTTTTTCCATCCCTGGTCTATTGTTATAGCTGTTTTGTGATAAGTGTAATTTGTAATAACTTAGGACTCCAGTAGGTTTCTTTTATTTCTTTTTATGTATCAGAGATGTATCCAATACAGGATTCACATAATCCCGTATATAATGGGGCATTCCTCCTGATACCCTTCTTTCAAACCTAATGGATGTGGCAATCACAATTCCAGTAACTAAGTGACCAGGAGCTGTCGGTGACAGTGTGCCTATAGTGTTGGGGGTGTGCAACTGAGCGTGTTCCTAACACGATTGGCAATGCATATATGTGAGAACACATAATAAGGGCTACCTACATGCTTCCACATGTATGCATATGGCCAGCAGGAAGGAGATAAGATACAACAAACAAATACACGGATGAAACTCACATACTATCACGTACCTGGTGAGAGACCGGAAGGTGAGGAGGCTTCCCTTGCTACTTGTGTCCTACCACCCCTGGAGATAAGAACAGAGAGCGGAAGGACAGCGAGGAGCATGAGTGCCACTGATGGGAACAGACACCATGCAGGAGACATCCAGTAGCAGTCAGCAAGCCAGACGTCCAACTGGGCGGGCAGCGTGGGAACAGAACCAAGAGACTGAAACGTGGTCGTGGAAGCAAAACGTCACAGCAAAATCAGCAAAGTACCAAATCAGAAGGCAGAAGGCAAAGTCCAGGAAACAGGGCGAGGTCAGGGGCAGGCAGCAATCAATAGAGAGAAGTCCAAACAATTCCGGTCAAAGCAGGAAATCCAACAGGGTCCAGGCAAACAGGAACACTAGCTGAAAGACCATCAGCAATATGGTAAGGGTAGGCTCATTTTGATAGGCCAGGTTATCAGGATAACAGCGTCATTTCCGATGCGTCGGCCATTTGCACATCGTTCCGTGCACTTCCGGTCGCACGTGCATGCGCACTAGGGCATGTTTTACCGGTCCCTTCGAAGACTGGGTTTGTGCGCATGCGCGGCCGCCATTTTTCCTTTACACATACAGGAGATGTTTTACCTGACAAAGAATTTGTACTTTGACAATGTCAAAGACTGCTCACTGGTGCTCTCTCCTTGTGCAGGTTGACTGGCCTTGCCTCCGCCCCTCCTATAGTTTCCTGTAGTGGGCGGGGCCTGCTGGCCCCTCCCACAGCTTTGCTCCCTGCACAGGCATGTACAGCACAGTGATGATTTTACTGCTACTTTTATATTGTAATACCTGAGTGTTCAAAGGTGTTAGGAGCACACAAAGTGGATGTATATCCTTTGTGACTATATAGGGAATATATGTTTTGGTCTTGTGCCCAAAGTTCGGCTTTAAGAGAAATAGGGAAGTGGTGAGAAGCCCAGGAAGTGTGCAGAAAAACTCTTCCGTAGTTCTGCTGACACACAATCGCTCTCGGTCTGATAGAAGCTTGCATTCTGTATGCAATTGTTATATACACCTTCATACCAGGCTGAGGAAAAGGGTAAGTCACTATATCATTGCTGCAAGGATGAAGAGCACTTGGAGTGAGGACAAATCCTGTTTATAATAAGGGCGGCCTTCATACCTGCACAGTGTTCTAATATTGATATGAAGACGTGTGTGTAGGAGGGCCACCTCTCTAGGAAAGGATGGTGACCATCTTGAGGATGGTATGGAGGAAAGGCATAACCATAACTCATCTGGATGTGGGTGGGGATTGTATATGTAGATATATACATTTTAATTGTGTGCCATTTGTATACCCTATTCCAGAGGTATCCAAACTCCAGCCCTCCAGCTGTGTTGAAGCTACAAAATACCATCCTGCATCTGCCACTGGAAGGAGTCTTGCCATGCCTAAGGGGAATTGTAGTTTCATGACAGCTGGAATGCCGAGGTTTGCCTACCCCTGGGCTATGTTTTATATCAGTTACATGTGACCTGGTTTTAAGGGGCTGGATAAAGTGTGAGGATAAAGTAAATCTGCTGCTATCCCAAAAAGATCCAAAGACCTCTACAGCTGGTACTGAGTCTGAACTCCATTGTCTTTAAGCAGTGCAGCCTATGGCAGAGTCTTCAGGATTTGACTCTTCTGGAAGTGTTGATGGCCTGCACCACCAACCATACACTGTGGTTCCTTACATCTGCCCCTATATCTCTACAGGACTCAGTAGTAGTAAAGAAGTGGCTGAATGGAGGAACAATTGAGTGTGGTGGGGGGATTTCAGAAGGGGTCAATTGGCTTTATTGCTTTAAGATAGTCGACTTCAGGCTCACCACACCAACTAGAAAGATTTGATTTTTTGGGAAAGTGTTTGAGTCAGGTACAGGGTGCAAAGGGGGATATCTTCAATGGGACCACAGGTGGCAAAAAAACTGGCAAAAGTCCTAACCCAACTCCGCTCTACTCAAACAAAAAAACAAGTTTGGCTGTAGCTGGATTTTAATTCGAAAAGAGCTCAGGTTTGGACCAAACCTAGTCCGAACCGGAGCTTCTCTGAACATGGTAGGAAGCGCCTTTCACTGTGGCCCAATCAGCTGCGGCTGGGGAATTTCCCACCGGCAAATGCACGTAAGCAAAGAAGCTGGATGCACTGACATCACAGACCTTATATGACCACATAACTTTTTTTTAAATGTTTATATGGGTCACAATGTTGACGGTATGAATATTCGTTTGTTTTATAGAATACAACTTATACACATTATACTAAAACCGATGCTCAAAGGCCCGAATGGAGTACAAATTTGCGATTAGCATTCGGGAGCTCCCAAATACAATTCGGGTCTGGAAGCCTCAGGTTTAGTTTTATGTGTATATGGATCACAATGTTGCTGCTACGAATATTTGTTCGTATTATAGAATACTAATTATATATACATTATAATAAAACTGATGCGCCGAGGCCCGAATGGAGTCCAAATTTCCAAATAGCATTTGAGAGCTCCTGAATGCCATTCGGGTCTGGAAGCCTCAGCTTTAATATGGCTCCCAGACCCAAATTGCTTTCTGGAGCTCCCGAATGTTATTTGGAAATTCGGACTCCGGAATGCCATTCAGGTCTAGGAGCTCCAGCTTTAGTATTAATATCTGTAGATGGTTTTCTGTGGTATTTACAATGAACATTCGTAAACTCATCCGAAACTAACGAAAATTCGGATTTCGTCCAAATCTGATACCCCGAACCGAATTGAATTTCAGGTCCGAATGCCAAAATAACGAAATATCCGAACCAAATTTTTCTGCAGCTTACATGTCTATTCCTCATGGTCCCTGTGTGTGTTGTAAAGTAGCCACTGCTCCGAGCTCCCTATGGCCTATAATCTCAATACAAATCAACAAACTAAACATGAGATTGTAGTCCATCACAGGAGTGTGCTTGGAGCGGTGACTACTTTACAACACACACAGGGACCATGGGGAACAGACGTAGCCCCCCTCCAGAAGCAAGGACAGTGTCAGCACCAAACCAATTCATAGATGATTGGAGGATCTACAGCCGAGTGATACACAAATAAGAGACATTGTTGTTAATTGTTAAAGTACTTGAAGGTATTTTTAAGATTTAACTCCGGAGTTTAGTGTCACTTCCAAAGAATTCCTCGATTTTGTTTTCAACTTTCTAAAGCCACTTCCCCCTTTTTTTTTTTATTCACTGACCTGTAGATCTCTGATTTAGGAATACATAGAGAAAACAGCCGGTGAATTCAGAATCAGCTTTTCAGAATCCTTAAAAATAAGTTCCAAAGCGTGACATTATAGCAAAGTTAAAGTGGTGTCAGTGTGTAGTGTATGTGAGCAGACTAACATCGTTATTCACAGAAGGGTGAAGAGTTTGGAGAAGGCAGGAGAAGTGAACAATCCAGGACAACATAGACGATTTGGAAACATTCAGCTCACTTTCCAGTTCAGCTATGTTGGCCTAGATTGTTCACTTCTCTGGCCTTCTCCAAACTCTTCACCCTTTTGTGAATAACCCTGTTCCTAACTGGGATACAACCAGAATCAAAATAGTTCATGGCTTGTGACTATGTAACACTGACTAGTTCATTGGTGGATCCTGCAATCTAATCTTGAAACATGGTCTCCCAACCCCTTCATAGAGACCTCTGGTCAACAAATGCTTCAGATCCAGCATGGATCCATATTTCATTTCTTCATAGGGGACACAAGAGATTATAGGGTGGGATTCTCTGAATTTATGATTACATATTCTTAGTAAAACCATCTCACTGGATCCCTTCTATTCATTGACCAGAGGTCAGTGGCTAGGGGAAGAATACCTTTGCTCCGTGATGCAATGCGTCTAGGTGAGCCAGTAAACCTTCAACAGTACATTACAAATCAAGCAGACTGTGAATAGCCCCTGGCAGAGCCAATCCGCCTACCGTCATTCATCACTGCAGGGTTTGATTGGTTACTTTGGAATTTCAAGTGGTGCTAAAAGAACAAATACAACATTTAAATCCCCAGTAAGCCCATATTATTTTAGTGTTTTCCTTGCAAGTCAATAGAGGAGGTATAACAATAATCATATGATCTCAGTAAACTCCACTGAGGACCTCATGTGTCTCTTTTGTTTCATCTTGTCTCTCACCTTGTGTCTGTTTTACTCACAAGACGTCATGTTTCTCATTTGGCTTAGCTGCAAGGCAAGCTGCTAGGGGATGGCTGACTACTCCATACGGAAATACAACAAGGGAGATTATGAAGCTGTCCGTGACTTATTTGCCCAAGGAATGTTGGAATACATTCCGGGCACTACCTCCTACATGCTGAAGCTACCCCAAGTCTATTGCCCCATCCTGGCTTCATCCATCATATTGCAGTTGTTTTTTCAGTCCTTCTTCCTGTCTCTTTTGGGTGTCGGGATAGCCGTGGCTGCAGTTCATTTAATCTTGACATTTGCATGTAAAAAATTGATAAAGCAATGTCACAACGGAGATTTACGAAACGTTCAAGAGACCTATATCTGGAAACCCAACTCCTGCTTCTGGGTAGCCGAGTCAGGCGGTCGGATTGTGGGGATGGTGGGAGCCCAGCCTGCCCCGAACTCCAACAACGACATGACACTACGACGATTGTCCGTGGCTAGAGACCAGCAGCGCCGAGGGATTGCCAAGGCCCTCTGCACGACGGTTTTTGATTTTGCTCGCCATCGAGGATATAAGCGTGTCGTTCTAGATACATCAACTTTCCAATTCACTGCTCATAAACTGTATCAAAAGTTGGGTTTTACAATCAAAAAAATAATACCGAGCAAAAGTAGACTGGGAAGATTTGCAAAAATGTCTGTGGTGTTCTACAGCTATGATTTCTAGGTGTGATAACAAAAGAGAGGGACTGATATCATGTCCCCACTGGTATCTCATGGCCAAGTTAGATGGCTCTCTTGGGGCTCTAGATGTTTTATGAAATATATCATCTACTACGCAGGTAAAGCTGTACTTACTCAGCACATCTTCAACTGTGACTGATCGCTTCGAGGTATGAGTCCACAAACTATGTCTACGTCTATCCTTTGACATTCCATATTATGTCTTTAGTCCACTTATATGTCCCTTTCGAATCTCATCGCATCCGGCCTTCCATATCCCTACTGGATTATACTTATGATCACACACCGTCTTTCCTTCTTTCTCCTCTATGCTCTATTGCTTCCCCTGCTCCTACCCAATCTCACTATTCCACACTTTTCTCTCTTCTTATGTCAAATATCAGTTATAATGTTTGCCAAGAGTTATTGTTGCATTACATGATGTGTTTTCTCCATGCATATATGCCGCATATACTGTTATCACCGGTTCTGTACCGTCAGTGGTCTTTGTATTAGTTATTGCTGGCATACCCTCAATGCATTATGACATGTATGTGGCTGCTATTTACCATATATAAATTGCACCATTATTGGTTGTGAGAAAACTTAATAAAGATTTATATGCTTAAAAAAAAAAAAAAGAGAGGGACTGTTATTGTGAGGACATGTGTGGAAGATACTGTATATAGTGGTTAATGTTAATGATAGACAGACAGACAGACAGACAGACAGACAGACAGACAGACAGACAGATAGATAGATAGATAGATAGATAGATAGATAGATAGATAGATAGATAGATAGATAGATAGAAATATAGATAGATAGATAGATATATAGATAGATAGATAGATAGATATATAGATAGATAGATAGATATAGACTATATGGCCAAAAGTATATAGACATCCCTCCAAATGATTACGTTTAGGTGTTTCTAGTAAAGGATCCTGTTAATACTACAGCATATGAAGACATATCAGACAATCGTGCCCTTCTAACCTTGTGGTAACAGTTTGGGGAACTTAATTTTCTGTTGCAGCATGACTGTGCCGTCATACACAAAATCGGCTTCATAAAGACACCAGTTTGGTGTGGAGGAACTTCAGTGGCCTGCATAGAACTCTCACCTCAACCCTAGTGACCACCTTTGTTCCACAGATTCTGAACACCTTTGAGGTGTTGACTGTGAGCCAGGTCTACTTGTCCAACATCAGTATCTTGGCTCCAAATTTTCTTTTGGCTGACTAGGACATATCTCCCAAGACACTCGGAAATCTTGTGGAAAGCCTTCCCAGAAGAATGGAGGCTGTTATAGCTGCAAATAGGGGGCAGGCCTATAATAATGCCCATGATTTGGAAAGAGATGCCCAACGAGTTCACATAGCTGTGATGGTCAGCTACAAAATTGTCTACAAAATTTTGGCCATATAGCATAGATAGGAAACTGACTTTGTTATTTTATATTTCTGTCTTAAACCAGATCAGCAAAAAATAAATAGGTACTATGACTATATTATTATGGGAAATCACTATACTGTTGCCTCTTCTAGTCTCTGCCCCACTCATATAATGGAACTGTAAAAAGAAATGTGTGCAGTATTTTGTATGTAATAAAAGTTAACTGCACCTGTTTCTTGCATAGCTAATCCAGAATGCGTGTTTCATTCAAATGTGCTCATTGAGTGTTTTATGACAGTGCAAATGTTCTTAGTAAGGTCTTGGAAATAAGAACAGTGACAGTATAACATGTGCTATGGTGCTGTATTGACTTTGCAAATATAGAGGACATTTGCATGTATCCAAATCATTATTCCACACAGGCATCTGGCATATAAACTGAAGTAAGAGTTCAAAGTTTTGGGACAGGTCAAGGGTTTAAGTCCGAGCACTACATATTATGATGTTAATATATGGTGTGACATTAATGAGGTCTGGGCACCCCAAAACTAGTCCAGGAACCCCATCGTCCCCTCATTGTGTTGACATTATTCACTTCTACACATGATTAAACCAGCCTGCAGATTAAACATATTTGTTTTATAGAGAGTCTTCAAAGGTTCTTCAATTTCGTTGTAATTGCCACCAACAAAGTTACCAATAGTATTCGGCAACAGAAAATCAGAGGTATATCAAAAACTATGTAACTATGTAACTATGTCTCTTTAGCAAAGCCTCTTTTATGACTGCTTTATGGGTCTTATTGCCAACCTCCTAATGGGGCATAGTAAAGCACTGAGTGAAGCCAGAACACTAATAGCTCATCAATGGACAGATCCCCTATTAAATGTAATGTCTGGGCTGAGATGGCCTATAAATAACCCAGAATGAATAACTTTGGACCAGGGGGTACTACATTATTAAGAAACAAATCTGTAGATATATAATGAAACACTGGCTGCATACATACAATGTACCCCTGTCTTATGGGGTACAAAGGGCCAAAGACACACATTACCCCTTCTGAGTGAGAGAGAGGGAGGGAGGGGGAGAGAGAGAGGCAGGGAGAGAGAGAGGCAGGGAGAGAGAGAGGGTGAGAGAGAGAGAGAGAGAGAGGGTGAG